TGTGTAATTCCCCATGATGCTGTGTCATTTGGTTGCAATATGGAACCATTCAAATAGTAGTCTTGCCAATGCCATATACAGAAGTAGTTCAACCTCCATATCCCTATTTGATATTTCCTTGTTTATACATCCGGGGTCTGCTTTGGCCACAGCATCAAATTGAGAGCACATATTCAGTTAGTTATCCATCATAACCCCCCAGGTCACTGTCAGAATCACTGCTTTCCAAGATACATCATCCTCATCCTGTAACTATGGTCTCTGTTCTTTGGTCCTAGATCTTGCATTTAGCTCTGTTAAAGTGCATGTTGTCTGACTGTGTCCAGCTTACAAAGTGATGTTGGAAACTGTTTAAATGTCATGACCTTTTCATTTCTTAGAGCAAAGATTGGTGGAGTAGTATCTGCAAACTTTGTCACCAATGATTTTATATATTCTTTCAGGCCATTGATAAAAATGCATAACAGCATTTGGTGAAGATCTCCTTGGATATACAATCATTCAGTGATGATTCTCCGTTTACATATATATATTAGGAAATTTGTCATTTAGCCAGTTTCTAATCCATTTAATACAGGGATAGCCAATAGGTGGACTGCAGGCCAAATCTGGACCGCCACACACTTTTGAACAGACCCTGAAATCTTTTTTTTACTTATTATAATGTTTTTATTATTATTTTCTCTGTAGGCTGGACCTTGACTATACCTTGACTAAGAAACCTGGACATTGATAAAAAAAAAAAAATTGACTACCCCTGATGTAATATGTGCTATATTGCTATTGTATAGTGCTCATTTTTGATCAGGATGTCACAAAGTACTAAGTCACAAGCCTTAGAGAAGTCTTAATATATTTACTTCAACATAGTTACCGTTATCTATGAAATCTGTACTCAGAAAACAGTATAAAATTTGTTTGATCAGACCTATTTTCCATAAAACCATGTTAAATGGCATTTATATTACAATCTTTAATTGAGTCTCATCAATCATTCTGTGATTTTTCATGTATATATATCTAACAGGCTTATAATGATCAGGGATATCTCATTTACTCTATTAAATATCAGACTAACATTAACTTTCTTCCAGTCTTCCAAAGTTTGTTTAAAAATTAACATCAATGATTTAGTGCTCCTTTGCCAACTCGCTTTCAGACTCTTGAGTGCAAGACATTTGGATGTGCTCCATCTGAATGTTTAACTTTCAGTAAGACAAGGTAGATGAAGTAGTATCTTTGACTGCACCAATCTGAGACAAGCTTTTGTCTTTCATTGTCTTTTAAATATCCCAACACAGCTACAACACTGCATATAATTTTTTAGTAAAGCTGTTTAAATTCCTTCTTAGTTATACTTAAACTAGATGATGAAATACTTTCTATTTAATTTCCAAATACAGAACTGAAATATTTATTGAACACTTCTGCCTCTTCTGCATCAGTGACAGTTTTATTACCTACATTTATAAATGAACCTATACCAGTGTTAGGATTCCTTTTATGCATGATTATGTTTTTTTAAATTCCTTCTAATTGTCCTAACTCCAGTGGCCAATGACTTTTTCATTGTTAAGCTTCCCTTACCAATTTTCTGCATTCTTAACTTCTAATGTATATTCATTGCTATTGACTTCACCTTTTTTGTGTGTGTCTTTTTACATTTTTATGGTTGTTTTCGCTTCCCGTCTAACTAGGATTTTTTTAACCAATCTTATGTGATTGTGGGATTGTAGATTTTTAGGCATCTAGTTAAATCACAATATGTGGCAATGGTGCTTCCATCTCACTTGAGTGAAGTCAGAAAAGACTATCCCTATCAATGTAGGCCTCATAATGGTGGTGTCCAGACCACCCTTGAAAGTGTGTTTCTCTAAAGATACCACCTATTTAGGAGTCTCACTTGTAAGATCCTCCTAGTTGTCCAGCTTATCTTTGTGTAGCATGAAACTGACACAATTCTCTTTTCTGTTAAGTTTGGTTCTTATGATTACAGAGTAAGGCACGAGGCAGGCCCTCTATTGGCCAACACACATCACCCTGCTAACTATGAACACTGGCTTCCAAACACTCTCATCAATTCCTTGACTGACTGCATTCCTCAAAGGAGCTGGTTGCAGGAATATCTCATTGGCAATCACTAGCTATTTACTAGATCCAAATAATAATTCATCAGATATCCTTTTCAGATCCTCCGTTCCAGTCAGGTCTGGTCAGCTCTCTACATTTTTGAGACCTTTGCTTCAAGTACTTTGCTGCATTTCCATGAAACATTGGGGTCCTCCTTAACCTTTTCTTTACCTTTTTTTCCTCAGTGCTTCATTGCTTTGGCAATGTCCTCGTTTTTTGGTACCTTGCTTTTATTTATTTTTAAGCACTTCCCTGTTTAAAATATAATAGTTGCAATCTCCTGGATGGATGTAGATTGGAAAAAAGCCATCCTGGATATTCACGAAACCCGATCATCAGACAATAGTTGAGAATTTAACCAGATTCCAAGTTATGAACTCAAGTGACAAATGGTGGATAGAAACACTCGGGACATGTAATCTGCACCAAGCCTTCTAATTGTGCTCCCCCACTTGCAAACATCACCATCACCATAGTTTTGTCTGGGTTGAACTTTAGCCAGGTGTCTATATGTAAGTGATTCTCAGCTAGATATTTAGTAAGACTATTGAAATAGATGGAGCTATAGTGCTGAGTGTTATCAATATACTGAAAACCATCAAAGCCCTTGCCTTTCCTGTTCTTCCTCCAAACTCCACCCAACACAAGGCTGAACAATGTAGAGATACAAATGGAGCCATGCAAAACTCCACATGAGATCCCTCATGACGGAAGAGCAATGAAACTACCTTCTGAGATATCCTAAAAAGAAGAGAATGAAGCCATGTGAGACCAGCTCTGTCTAGAGGTTTGCAAAGGAATCAGCACTCCATAGTCAGTGTTGACGGGCACATGATAAATCTAATAATGATGTGGATACTTCATCACTAGGAACAAATAACTGACCACTGTTGCAGTCTCTTTACTGTATCCAGAATGAAAAGAAAGGAGAGTTGTATAACTACTTCCAGAGAGCATAACCTTTTCAATAATATCATAACTTTTTCAATAATAAGGGTACATTAAATACAGGGCAATAACTAAAAATCAGATTCTTTCTGTCAAGACATTGCCCTATTTCCTTGGGTGCAGACAGTTTGGTCTGAACCTGAGCAATTTTCTTGGGGCGAGGGGGAAGAAGTCCTCACAACAGAAGAATCTCAAATTAGGCCTCACAGCCAGACTCTTAGATTAGTGGTGTCCAGCTTGTGGTCCACTTATGGTCCTTGATGCTCTAAATTGTGGCCATTGAGACCATGGTGCTAAGAAGGAAATTTGTATTAGATTATGAATTGAAATGTACTTCCTAAGTTGCATCCTGTGATTTTTAAACTGAAGTGTTTGAATTAGCTGTATAGCTGTAGAGAAGTGGTTAGAGGCTCTGTCTCCCAACTGCTTCTTTCAATTTCAGCTGCAGCCTCAGGACAGTTCTGGTCTAAGCTTAAAGCACTCTGAGTGGCTGTTCTCCCTTCCCTACTGCAGATCCTCCATTGGCTGATTACTGCATTATAGGAACGGAGGAGAGAATAGCTCTGTCTGCTTTGTGTGCTTCCCTAATGAGTGGTGGGCCTCACAGAGAGCTGAGTAGGAGCTCAACAGTCCCTGGCAGAGCCTTGAGGAGTGCAAAGGATTACCCTCTCTCCCCCTTGCAGCAATCATGAGCAAGCCAGGAAAGGGGGAGAGTTAGGGGGGCATCAGTAGCCTATTCTGATTTCCTGATTGTCTCCTCCAATCCAGGATGGGGGCTGCTCTGACTTGAGCCACTGGGGATAGCCAGACCACAACACTAGGGCCTGCAAGGAAAAAAGGAGTTGTGTGACCTGACTGTGCCAGTTGTAAACCACCCATAATTGCCCCCAACATGGGGGAATCCCCAGTGTGTTTCCTGCTCCCTTTATGTGCTGCCTCAGTAGCAGAAAGGGGAACAAACTAGGGCATAGACACTGCCCTTTACTATTGATTTCATTTACCTTTTGGAAATAAGGATTTGCCCTCTAACTGGAAAGGCCACATTGTGCTGAGTTAACTTGGCTATCCACCATTCAAAACAGATCTGCTGGTTGAGATTTTGTGGATGCTATGGTGGAAGGGCACAGAACTTATTCTTCATGCAACTCAAAGCATAACATTTTATAAGCTTTCAGCTTCCATCATTAGCACTTTAACTATATTACTATTTTGATTAAAAAGTCATACCCCTAACCAAAACAGTTATACCAGTACAAAATTTATGTGTAGACCAGGTCTGGATCTGTAATTGGAAAGGCAATGGGTGAACTCATGATTATATACTAACTAGCCTCAACTGATGGATCTTTTGGTCTCCTTGCTTGTTGTTAGGTGGCCCCATAATGCTGTCAGTAACTGCATGCGCAGGGTAGGATGTGAAAAGTGAGGACTCTGACAAACAGGATTAATTACTGTTACTATTAGTATTACTATTACTATTAGTAATCTTGGTTTTAAACAACATGTATCAGGCCTTTCCCATTCGGTAACATTAGCAAGCGTGGAAATAATTGTTTGTCACTGTTCTACTAATAGTCTGCAATTGACAGTTGCATGAAAGGGTAAAGAATCAGCAGAGTGGGGTCCTGGTCCATGACTAGTGCTCTTAGACACTACACTTAATACAAATAATAATAATGAATATTAGGTTTTTGAGCTATTTTGGAAACTAAGTGGGTGATTTGTCTTTGAAGCCTTAAATATTGAGCCCCAGGCATTTTGGTTAATTCTGAATCAGAATAAGTAAGTCAGTGCTCTCATTTAGTGTTTTACACAATGCAAGGAACATTTAGTGATTTTAGAAGTAGGCTGCAATATTCCTTTTAAAGTAGTCTGAAAATGTCAAATGTTTTCCTTTTTGTTGTTGTTGTTGTTTGTCGTAGGCTGAAACCAGAGAAGCTTGAAAAAGATCTTGATAGATATTCCGAAAGTGCCAAGAAAAAGAAAGAGAAAAGAGTCAGTCTTAAAGAGTTTGCTGCATACTTGGAAGTCCCAATTTCTGACACGTTAGAAAATATGTTTGCTCTTTTTGTTGAGGTAAGAAATACCAGAATGTTGTAGAGAATTAAAAATTCATCCTTATATCTTTCTATTGGGGTTTTAAAAAATGCAGTCATTGACTTCAGTCTGAGAAGAGTACAGCCTGTGCTGAGCACTTTTTAAATCCCATTCTTGATATCCTTGTGCTTTTTTCTTATCTAGTAAGTCTAAATTAATCCAGTAAACTAAACAAAACATGGCTTAAGTGAAAGGTTAATGGTACAGAAATCGGACAAAACCAGTTTTGTTTTGGAGTACCAATTATGAAAAACAAAACTTTGTGTAGAGAAAAAATGAGCACATGAGCAATAAGATATATTTCTAATACTATAGCTGATTAGCATACAGAAATATTTTGGCCATATGAAATCTTCCTTAATAGAAACAAAGTGGGGAGGTGCGTGCGTGCATGTGCAATGAAGGAGGAGTCAGTTTTTATGTTATAGGATGCCACACAAATGGAAATTCAAAACAGACTTTTCACACATGGATGCCTAAAGTAAGGCACCAAACTCCTACTGAGTTGCTTAGATAAATTGATTAAATTTTCAGGTGTCCTGAGCATCTGGAGTTCTCTTTGACCTTAATGGCACTTGCAAGTACTCGGCATCTTTTGCAAATCAGACAAATATTTGTAGGCAGTGCTGGTAGCAGTGCCTACAGTTTATGCTACCAGATGCTTTCCACTATAAGATGCTGTTTTCCGTTGCTTATAATTTTACTAAATGTAATCTGTTAGGGCTAGAATTTTCTATGCTGAATGTCTGTCTCTGGCTTAATTAATTTTAAAAACATTGGGGGAAGCTTCAGCAAAAACACTTCAGCCATTTCAGATAATGAGGTTAGGGGAAAATATGTTTTGTGCATGTTTTATTCTTATAACACTTTCATTGTGAAACTCTAGATTTATAGATTCCAAGGCTATAAAGGATGATTGTGATATATAACCTATAACCACTATAGTACACTGGTTACTATAGGGCCTATAACCACTACAGTACACTGACCTGCACAATACAGGCCATAGAACTTCCCCAAAATAATTCCTTTTGAACTAGAATATATCTTTTTAAAAATGCTTTGAAGCAGGGGGCTTGAAATGTGGTGTGGGGGAAAAGGGGTCATCCTTGTGTCAGGGATGTGCCTTTTGCCATCGTTCGTAAAATGCCACCCAAATCTGGCCAAGTTGTAAGCCTCTGAAAATTATAGTTCGCACATGCTTAGTAGGTGTTTGTTTGAGGCTGATAGCTAAATTCTCGGAAGATTCTGTCTGCCTGAACGCTTTCCATCTGCATACAGCTTCTGTAAGCAACCAGACTGCCAGTGCTATCCCTTCAGAACACCTGAGCTTCCTGCAGGGGCTAAACTTGCAATTGCCCTTCCTGGTTGCTGGGGGCCTCTGTGGTGTTAGGCAACAAAAATAAAAACAAAAAGACTCTCTCCTTTTCTATTAGAGACTAACTAACTTCGGATGTAGCTCACGAAAGCTTATGCTCAGATAAATTGGTTAGTCTCTAAGGTGCCACAAGTACTCCTTTTCTTTTTGCGAATACAGACTAACACGGCTGTTACTCTGAAACCTTTTCTATTAGTGCATCTCCTGCTGGTGTCTAGACAGTGAGAAGGAGAGAGCAGCCTGACTCGATCCCAAGGAGTGAGGAGTAGCGGAGAGAGATAGAAGTAGGTGGGATGCGTGGGGGGAAATAGGACCATAGGGGAACAGGGACCAATAGAGTCAGAGAGGAAAATGGGACAAGCAGAAGCAGGCAGGGATAGGGGCAGAGAAGGGCCTATAACCACTACAGTGCACGTCTCCAGAATGTGAAATTGAACCCAGGATACCTGAATCCCAGCATTCTTCTGCAGTCTAGCAAATAGCTGTACTGGCCAAATGTGTCTTCTTCTAATTCTCTCTGCATAGAAAGTCTCAAACTCTCCTTCTGGGTTGGAGCTAATAGCACACACTTCATCAGCAGGGTAAGTCAGGTGAAAATTACCTAACTTTAGATACCCAAGCTGCAACACTTTGGTACCAAACTCAAATTCTTACCAAATGATGTCATGGTTCTTTATATGCTGCTATTCTGGCAAGACCAAAGAATGTTCACTGAATAAGTATACAGTATTAATATTTTAATGCTGAAACCAAATTATTGTCTAATGTCTGAACCACAGCCTTAGAGTAAATTACAAAGCTTCCTCAGATTTCAATTTCTTCAAGTGCTTGCAGATGTCCATTCCAATGTAGGTGTATGTGCTCCCTGAGCACAGTTGTTGGAATTTTTTCCCTCGGTGGTATCTGTCGGGTCGGCTCCAGCACCCTCTGGTTCTGTGCACAAATAGCACTGGTATAAAAGGCCACACCGACCCCATGCCCTTTCAGTTCCTGCTTACCACCCGGGATGATTGCTGAAATTTCCCTCTTGCTCAGACAATCTCACCTTGTGATTTTTCTTCTTTCTCATGTATATCGTTGTTGTAGTTTATTAGGAGTTTTAGTTGTTAGTGAGTTTTGGACACCTCTGGACTTTGTTGGAGAGGATTGTCCGTTCCCGTGGCATACCAAGCTTCAAGCCCTGTGCTTCCTGTGGCAATTTGATGCCCTGGAACAACACGCACTCTAGCTGTCTCAAGTGCTCATCGGAAAGACAATTGCCAAATCTGCAGGGACTTCAGACCCTGCACCAAGAAAGACCAGGAGGCAGCCTTAAGATCAGCATCAGAGCCGCGCTCAGACTTGGCACCAAGCATCTCCGCCTCGATGTGGAGCACTCCTTCCACTAGTTGAGAGCCCTGCACCGATCCTCCTCCCAGTGCAGGAGAAGAAGCACTGTAAGCACCAGATGAGTCATTCCCCGGTGCCAAAAGGAAGCAGGCAAGGGGATCTGGAAAGAGGGAGACCTGTGTCAGGCCACTATCCTTCTCCAGGACCTCAGCCAGCCTTGGTGCTTCTCTCAAGCTCCACTAATTCCAGCATGGGAAATGCCATCCTTCAACGGACAGCGGACTGGGCAGTTCTCAGAACCATCAACCCCAGAGGCGTTTGCGGCTGCTAGAGACCTACTCACTCTCCCAGTCCCAGGGTCCCCGGAGAGTTAGGACTTGGCACTGCTGGTACCAATGAGTGGCAGAGAACCATCCTCCAACTTTCATGTGGCACCACAGCCACCCTCTAGGCAAAAACCTCCTATGGTAGCCTCAACTCGGACCTCTCCGCAGTGCCATTCGCTGGCACCGAGAGGGTCAGCACTGCCTTGGTCTCCCCAGCATAGCTCGTCTTCCTCATCAGAGTCTGAAGTGGGGTTTCTGCTCTCCCCATCATCAAGACCTCTTGCACTACTCCCTTGCTGGGCCTCAGGCACTATGGTGCCCCTGAATACTTGGTCTCCAGGACTGGCCTTTTTGGAACCCTTGGGAGTTTCTCTTGTGTCAGGGCACCATTTTGACACATTCATATTCTGTGGCCTCAGAAAGTAGGACACTTCCAGTACCGCGCCATAAGACTTATTAAAGTAGGTGGCCTTGAATTTGGGTATCCACGCTGAGGTGTTCAGAGAGACGATACCTGGTTACTGGACATTTTGTCAGCAGCAGGTCCCTCAAGAGTGGCTTTACCCCTTAATGGGGTGATCATGGACCCAGTTAGAGTGTTCTAACAGACCCCCGCTTCCCTCCCTCCTATAGCCAAAAGGACGGAGTGCAAATATTTCATACCAGCCAAGGGGTATGAATTTTTGTTTTCACACCCTCCACCAGGATCTCTAATAGTGGCAGCCACCAATGAGGGGGACCATCAAGGTCAAACAGGCCCCATGCCCAAGGCAAAGGACACCAAAAAGCTGGACTTGTTTGGCCAACAAGCATATTCAGTGGGTGGGTTACAACTCCGAATAGTGAACCAGCAAGCTTTGCTAGGTTGCTATGATTTTAATGTGGGAAGCAATGCAGAAATTTAAGGACATGCTCCATCAAGAGGCCAGACAGGAGTTCTCTTCCTAGTCAAAGAAGGGAAGACAGTAGCCTGGGCATCCCTGCAGGCAGCCTTGAATGCTGCCGATTCTGGGGCCAGATCAATGGCCATGGCTGTTACCAGGCACAGAAGCTTGTGGTTACAGTCTTCAGGGTTTCCTTAAGAGGTGCAGCAAACCCTCCAGTATCTCCCATTTGAAGGGCCCTTGCTCTTCTCAGAGCAAACAGATGCTAAACTCCACGGACGTAAGGACTCCAAGGCGACCCTAAAATCTCAGGGTCCAGAAAACACTACAGGCCTCAACAAACAGGACACTATTTTGCGCAACCTGCCAGGCAGGACCAGCGGATGAGGAAGAGCAATTTCCTCTTCAGGGTTGACGCATTCTGCCCCTAAACACTCAAGTAGTTAAAGCACTGGTTTGGACAAGATTCTTGAAGATGACATATCAATTCTCTCAGTTCTGGATCCAGTTACCCGTTTGTTTTCCAAACGACTCTCCCACTTCCTCCGTGCTTGGACCCACATTACCTTGGACTGTTGGGTTCTAAACGCAATAGAATTTGTTTATATCCTTCAATTTTTATCCACCCTGCCTTCCCACACCCTGTCCCCATCCCTCTTTAGGGATCTTTCTCACAAACAACCATTGGAACAAGAAGTTCAGTCCCTCCTTTGGGTGGGAGCTGTGGAAGAGGTTGCACACTATCTAAGAGGAAAGGGGTTTTATTCCAGTTACTTCCTAATTCCAAAGGCCAAAGGGGATCTCAGACTGAACCTAGACCTGCATCATCTCAACCGCTATCTCAAGAGCTTGAAGTTCCGCATGGTCTCCTTGGGCACTATCATTACCTTGCTGGATCCAGGGGATTAGTATGCCGGCCTCTATCTAAAGGACACATACTTCCACATATCAATTTTCCAAGGCGACAGAAGGTTCCTAAGATTTGCCATGAACCAGACACATTACCAGTTTGCGGCTCTCTCATTTGGCCTGTTGGCCACCGCACAGGTCTTCAACAAATGTATGGCAGTAGTAGCGGCTTTCCTCAGGAAAAAGGGGGTTCATGTATTCCCATATCTCAATGACTGGCTAATCCGGTCCAGACCTCAGGTGGAATCTCACTAGAAATACCCCCTTTTGAGCCACTTCTCATTCCATTAAATATGTGCTTTATTGGTATTGTATAGCACTGACTTTTTGAATCAGAATGTTGTGCAGTACCAAGTCAAATGCCTTATACAAGCCCAAGTATATTACATCTAGAGAGTGTATCTAGTGTATGTGTGTGTGGGGGGGGAGAGGGCACGGGGAAGTCTCGCGTGTTCTTGACTCAATGCTATCTTTATCAGTGATCTAGATGAAAGTATAAAATCATTGCATATGACACTAAGATTGGTGGATTTGGAACTAAGAGGACAGGTCAGTTATACAGAGTGATCTCTTCAGTGTGAGGGAAACATGACTAGTGCAAGACAATAAACCTGTTCTCATGAGTTTTACACTAATGTTACTTATCCGCTTATATATAATATATCTAAGTGATCAGTTGACAAAAGCTGCAGGGGTCAAGTAGTATAATAGTACTATCAAGTAGTAGTATTGGAGGTTTTTAAGAGCAGGTTAGACAAACACCTGTCAGGGATCATCTAGATAAGAATTAGTCCTAACATGAGTGTAGAGGACAGGACCAGAAGACCTCTTGAGGTCCCTTCCAGTCCTATGATTCTATGGCCACTGAGATTTGAGAGGGGGGTTCTCATTGCCATGAGGAGATGATCTATTAGACCTACAAGGGCTGAGGTCCATGCCATATCCAAGTCTAATCACAGGAGGACTGAAGATGTCCATTGAATTTGTGTCTTATCTGGAGCTTGGTTTTCAGTACTTTCTTGATAATTTTGTTTTGGGAAGCTTACAAGAAGTGGAAATTTGGACAGATGACTAGGGAGGAGTATAAAAATATTGCTAGAGCATGCAGGGATGTAACCAGGAAGGCCAAGGCACAATTGGAGTTGCAGCTAGCAAGGGATGTGAAGGGTAACAAGAAGAGTTTCCACAGGTATGTTAGCAACAAGAAGAAGGTCAGGGAAAGTGTGGGACCCTTACTGAATTGGGGAGGCAACATAGTGACTACTGATGTGGAAAAAGCTGAAGTACTCAAAGCTTTTTTTGCCTCAGTCTTCACAGCTCCCAGACTGCTGCACTGGGCGACACGGTATGGGGAGGAGGTGAGCAGCCCTCAGTGCTGAAAGAACAGGTTAAAGACTACTTAGAAAAGCTGGACATGCACAAGTCCATGGGTCCAGATCTAATGCAGCCAAAAGTACTGAGGGAGTTGGCTGATGTGATTGCAGAGCCATTGACCATTATCTCTGAAAATTTGTGGTGATCCAGAGAGGTCCCGGATGATTGGAAAAAGGCAAATATAGTGCCCATATTTTAAAAAGAGAAGAAAGACCCCGAGGAGCTACAGACTGGTCAGCCTCCCCTCAGTCCCTGGCAAAATCATGGAGCAGGTCCTCAAGGAATCCATTCTGAAGCATTTGGAGGAGAGTAAGGTGATCAAGAACAGTCAACATGGATTCAGCAAGGGCAAGTCATGCCTGATCAACCTGATTGCCTTCTATGATGAGACAACTGGCTCTATGGATATGGCGAAAGCGGTGGATGTGATATATCTTGAGTTTAGCAAAGCTTTTAATACTGTCTCCCACAGTACTCTTGCCAGCAAGTTAAAAAAGTACGTTTTGGATGAAAGGACTATAAGGTGGATAGAAAACTGGCTAGATTGCTGGGCTCAACAGGTAGTGATCAATAGCTCAATGTCTAGTTGGCAGCCGGTATCAAGCAGAGTGCCCCAGGGGTCAGTCCTGGGGCCGGTTTTGTTCAAATCTTTATTAAAGATCTGGATGATGGGATGAATTGCACCCTCAACAAGTTTGCAGATAACACTAAGTTGGGGGGAGCGGTAGATACGCTGGAGGGTAGGGATAGGATCCAGAGTGACCGAGACAAATTGGGTGATTGGTCCAAAAGAACTCTGAGGTTAAACTAGGACAAGTGCAGAGTTCTCCACTTAGGAAAGAAGAATCCCATGGCTAAGCAGCAGTTCTGCAGAAAAGGACCAGGGGATTACAATGGATGAGAAGCTGGATATAAGTCAGCAGTGTGCCCTTGTTGCCAAGAAGGCCAACAGCATATTGGACTGTATTAGTAGGAGCATTGCCAGCAGATCAAGGGGAGTGATTATTCCCTTCTATTCGGCACTGGTGAGGCCACGCCTGGAGTATTGTGTCCAATTTTGGTCCCCCCAGTACAGAAGGGATGTGGACAAATTGGAAAGAGTCCAGCAAAGGGCAACAAAAATGATTAGGGGGCTGGGGCACATGACTTACAAGGAGAGGCTGAGGGAACTGGGGTTATTTAGTCTGCAGAAGAGAAGAATGAGGGGGGATTTGATAGCAATCTTCAAATACCTGAAGGAGGGTTCCAAAGAGGATGGAGCTAGGCTGTTCTCAGTGGTGGCAGATGGCAGAACAAGAAGCAATGGTCTCAAGTTGCAGTGGGGGAGGTCTAGGTTGAATATTAGGAAACACTATTTCACTAGAAGTGTGGTGAAGCACTGGAATGGGTTACCTAGGGAGGTGGTGGAATCTCCACCCTTAGGTTTTTAAGGCCCAGTTTGACAAAGCCTTGGCTGGGATGATTTAGTTGGTGTTGGTCCTGCTTTGAGCAGGGCATTGGACTAGATGACCACCTGAGGTCTCTTCCAACCCTAATATTATGTGATTCTGAAGGGAGTTGCAGACACATTCCAGCATCAAGTGTGGGTGAGGTTCAAGCGGGCTATTGCATTTTTCAGGAAGGCTGGCAGGTTTGCTTTCCCTAAAGAAAGTGTTAATAATTTCAATAGAATTGAGCTCAGTTCTGTTTGGCTTTCATCAGTTGGGGTGGGAGTTTTGTTTTGCAATGGGACCAAATTTGGGTAGCAGGGTGGTTATTGCTTTCTAATCTGACAGTTTTCTGTTTCAAAAAGTTCATCTTATATTTGTTGAATTTTCTGTCAAATGGGATGAGAGCTCTTTGCAGTGTTCAGTATTTCAGTCTGATGTTTGGTTAATGTAAGCCAAGTGACTTGCAAGTTCATTATGCAAAATAATTTTGCTGATTTTTGCAGCTGTAATGGCGGACGACAGGGAATCATAGAATATCAGGGTTGGAAGGGACCTCAGGACATCATCTAGTCCAAATCCCTTCTCAAAGCAGGACCAATCCCCAATTAAATCATCCCAGCCAGTGCTTTGTCAAGCCTGACCTTAAAAACCTCAAAGGAAGGAGATTCCACCACCTCCCTAGGTAATGCATTCTAGTGCTTCACCACCAGGGACTTTTACTTCCTTTAGCAAAGTGGCATAATCCTGTACTAAACCCATTGTGCTGTCAGCAGATGGGTTCAAATCAGGTTTTACGATCCTAGGGTTTGAGTCTGACTGCATGCTTCATCTGCCATAATTCACTGATAAACCATAGAGATATTTGAGGTCAGTGTAAGGAAAGGTGGATTGTTCGGGGACAAGACATTGATGTCAGTGGTTATAATATCTGCTAGTTCATCCGTACATTGGCCTTGTGGATGAATAATTTGGTTTTCTTGGAACTGCTGAAAAGTTGAAGTATACACCTCTCCATCTCTCTGAGCTGTTAAGTCATATTCCCAGCGATGATGATTTAAAGGTCAGCTATTTGAGGGAGGGATAGCTCAGTGGTTTGATAAATAAACCCAGGGCTGTGAATTCAATCCTTGAGGGGGTCATTTAGGGATCTGGGGCAAAAATTGGAGATTGGTCCTGGTTTGAGTAGGGGGTTGGACTAGATGACCTCCTGAGGTCCCTTCCAACCCTGATATTCTATTATTCTATTTCACTGCTGGTCAAAGAATGTAACAAAGGAGAGGGACAATCATATTATGAAGATTTGCATAATCTACTGAGAGTGACATTCCATTTGGATGCCAGGAGTGGATTGCATTTGACAGTACCTGCACGTTTTTCCAGGATGCTATAACCAGGTTTTAAAACAACACATAGACTCTGCATTACGTACCATCTCCATTACAAAGATGACAAGGTTTTAAAATCTACTCGAGCTAATTGAATCTTAGCTTGTGTAATTATCCTTCCAAACAAGATATATTTGTCCACTGGAAGAAATAGTGATGTTTTCCATCAGATCCATAAGGACATCTTTGGCTATACAAATGAGAACTTTTGTAGAGTAACTTTTCAAAACAGTACCAAACCGTATAATTGACATCCACAATTTCCAAGCAAGGTATTAGGAAAATGACCATTCTCCATACCATGGTGGAAAATAAAATAAAATCTTTTCACTGTTAAAACTAACTTTTTTTGACTGAATTTTGATCATAGTAAATTGAACTTCATGTTGTTAGTTAGAAAAGATATGATCAGTATATATTTTCCTTTCTATGGTACATTTCATTCTTCAGTCCACTCCAAGTTAGAAATGCAAATTTTGGCATAGAATTACACTCTCTGATTGGTATTTTTTAAAAAACCAAGGGCGTTAAGCCCCCCTTTTTCAATGGAATTTAGTGGGAATTGGGATCTAACTCCTTTAGTCATCTTTGAAAATCTCAACCTCTAAATTTTACAAACATTTTTCAGAATATCTTCATGTGGGTTTATGTGTATGTTATATTTAATAATATTTAACATTCCTTTAATAGCTTTTAAATGTTTATGGAGTTCTGAGGTAGATGACAGAAATTCTGATTTGTTTTATTTTATTTACAGAATGAAGATGGTGTAATTGATCTACGGGAATATGTGACTGCTCTATCTGTAGTATGTAGGCCATCCAAAACTTTAGAAACAATTCAATTGGCATTTAAGGCAAGTAGCAACTTCTTACAATGTTCTTCTCACAATATGTAGAAAATACAGAACCATTTAAAAAAAATCAATTTGATTACACTGAATTTTATTCTATATATTCTTCTTATTCACATTTACACTTTTAAAAAAAGCATTAATACATTGCTTAGTTTCAGAGATCAAGCACCTCAGAAGTAATTAAATACAGATTTAGGCACTAGTCCTATCATATGATTGTAGCATGCTTTCCTCTGCATGAGCTGAGACCCACTGAGTTTGGTGCATCTCTACAGGGATCTGCATTAGCAAGTTGCATTGGATGACTGGGGGCCGTTATGTTGAAACCTCCAAACTTACCCCTTACCCATTGTGCTTATGCGTTATTAAAATGTGTTTCTGTTGTAACCTCTTTTTTCACATGATTAACATTTTCTGAAACACTTACGTTTTGGGGTGAAATTTTACATGTTTGATTCACAGGAATACACCTTTCTCCCTCATCTCATTGTTTAGATCACTACTGCCCCTTCATCCCGAACCCTACCACCAGGATCTTGTGGTTCACAGAAATGCTCTTCCCTGAGATGCCTTTGATTGCCAGTCTCTCTCCTCCCCCTCCCCCAACTCCTGTAAGTCACAGGAGCCACCAGCACAGACGACACAAGCACAAGATCTAGAAGAGAGTGGGGACAGGAGTGGGGAGGCGGGGATAGACTTGAGCTGAGAAGGGGCTGGCAGAGTCTGGATCACTGTTGGGAGTCTTTCAGGGGAAATAACATATCTGCCTGGAGATCATTGCTCATCTTCTGAGGTCCTAGGAGAATGCATTATATATTAAGAATTAGGGAAATCTTTAATGTCAGATCCACTAATAACAATATATTGTAGGGGTTTAAAAATAAATTCACATTAGTCTATTTGTGTACCAAATATGTGGTACATATTTGCAGTGTTGATGTGACTTTCTCCATTGCATTCTAATTAAAAAGGATAACTTAATACTTCCTTTGATATAGTATTGTCTTTAGCTAGCTTTGTCATATTGTGATCTTATCAGCCAGAGCCAAGATACATTAGCTTCTTGAATTGTCATAGAATCATAGAATATCAGGGTTGGAAGGGACCTCAGGAGGTCATCTAGTCCAACCCCCTGCTCAAAGCAGCACCAATCATCCCAGCCAGAGCTTTGTCAAGCCTGACCTTAAAAATATCTAAGGAAGGAGATTCCACCACCTCCCTAGGTAACAACCTCCTCCCTAGACACTCGTATTTATGAGGGTAGCAATTAGCAGCTTACACCATATGTGTGAGTTGGCCGGTTGTAACTATCTTAGTTTCTAAGAGAGATACTTGTCCACACTGGGGTATACTTGACTTTGCACAGGAGACTGTGATAAAGAAATAACCCATATGTATTTATTTTACTATTTGTGATTTCTTTGCATTTGTCAGGGGCAGAAGTAGTGAAATTCAACAGGCTTTTTAAAAATTTCTTTTTGGGGGAGGAGGGGAGGGATAGGAGAAACTGGTGGTGGGGGGTAATATTTGTCCTCTGTTACCCAAAGGCCAGGTCTACACTAGAAAATATTTGCTGGTATAGCTGTGCTAGCAATCCCTGCTAATGTAGATGCAGCTAATACTGGCAAAAGAGTTCTTTTGATGGCATTGCTTATATCAGTTCTACAAGTGAAATACAAATTCTGCAAAAAACAAAACAAAACACCATACCGTTAAGCAAGAGATGTAGCTATCCAGCACTTAAGTTAATTAAAGATGAACCCTTAGAGTTGTTACTCTTGTTGAATTTTGCAAGTCTTGCATTCATCACTAAATATGAATTATGAACATGAGTGGCTAAGGAATAAAAAAAGATGATCAGAGTAAAAGTATATTATAGACTTTGCTATATCATTGTAAGTATTTTGCATGACATCTCTATCTTTTAGATCCTGTTCTCTGTGTAATTGAGTATCTACTTTTAAAGTGTAGATTAATTACAACAGCTCTTCTAGTGTCATATGTTGACTTCTGTAAGGATTACAGCTGTACTGTACATTCTTAAGAGCAAAGTGTTTCAGAAGATAAGAAAGAGATTACTATTCAGCCACTTGATGCAGCATACAGTGGGAAATAATGTGAACTGAGGGTTCGTTGTCCATTTCTTTTCTTTTTTTTAAACTTAAACCACTCTCTTGTTAACTTGATGCTTTGCAGCATTGTCTGCTTTAGCTGCAGTCAAAGCGTTGCAGGTTTTAGAAAGAGGTATTGTGACATAGTTCAGTACAATAGAGAACGATGCCCTTCCTGATATCGTAAATGGTACTCACCATTTCCTTCCATAGCAATAATACACAACAGTGTGCATTAGTAGGCTTATAGGTATAAGCCCAAGTTAGCACCAAAGCTAAATGCCAAGTGCCTTCATCCATCTGAGAAATGCACAAGTAGGCTACTAATACACATCCTGAAATAGCTTATATATTCGAAAGCCTTGCTCATTCATTAAAATGCCTTATTTGAAAAAGAAAATACGCCTTTAGTTTGGGGGGGGGAAAGAAAATATTTCCCAGCAAAAGGATAAGAGATAATAGTAGGGGAAATGTTAGAAACTCCTTTTCCCTACTACTTTGAATGTTTTTAAATTTATGTTTGTAATCCTTCTTTGCTCTTTTTTTAAGGTTCCTTGACCCTTTTAGACCAGTTCTCCTGCCTCCTATATGAAGTCCAGCTGCCTTTTACTAGCATGCTGTGTCCCAACAGACACCAATCTCAGAGCTTCTGTATGTGGTGGGGTAATGTACTCTACAGGGGTGTAATTTCCAAAGCGCACTGACGCACTGTGCATTAATTGGTCCATGTAGACCTGAAGGTTCCTTAGTACACCTAAACGTGGTACTATTTATTCTACTAGAGAACCTTCAGTGCACACCAGCATGGTCTACACAGACCAGTTAATGTGCAGCACTTTAGTGTGCTTTGGACATCACACCCCTATAGAGCACATAACCCCACCGTGTAGACAAGTCCTTAGTTGCTGAACAGAAAGTTGGTAATAATTGGTTGGAAGCTCCAAACCACTGCTGAAATGGTATTTTAAGATGAGGGAGAAGTTGATGACATTCACCGTCTGTACAGTGTTCTTACTCTTAGGTTTGTGTTATCTAGCACAAAACAGTTCCAACTCCCACAAGTCAGATTTCTTGCCTACGGAGGGCAACAATAGCAGGATAGAGCTTGATCCAGGCCTCTACATTACATCCCCCTGCCTTAGACTATATCGCCATTGTTTGGACATTCTATACCAGTTCTTTCTTGGCTGCAGGCAGTAGAGGAGTGCCCTACTTTATGGTCATCTTTGTGATAAGCTCAGTGGTTTCTTTTTCTGTCTAACCTTTCTAGTCAGCATCTGGTTTTGCCTAAGGTGATTCATTCCGGGCTCAAGTAGGTTCTTCCATGCCTCCGTGCCACCTGTTTCAGTGCATCTGCACTTCACTCCCCTTGCTTAATGTTTGGCACTCCAGCAGCTTTGCTTGCAGTACACTGATTCATTACCTTTGCCGTGGAACTTTAGCACTGCTGTTTCAGCACTTGGCACTGCTCTTTTGGTATGCTGTGGCTTTGGTCTCTTTTTGCCTGCATCTTGTATACTTGACATCTTGAATCTTCAGTACTTTCAGCTTGGCACATCAGTGTCTCCTCACTCCTGTACCTCCTCAGCATCTTCAGGTTTCACTGTTGCTGCTTTGGTGCATTATTTAATTAGAGGGGTTTTCTATTTTTTCTTTTCCAACATGATGTTTTCCAAGAAGGAAAGAAACAAGGTGTTCGGCTTCAAAAATTATCACTTTGACAGAACCAATTCCAAGAAGGGATGGCTGTACCCATTATGTTCTCTGGCTGGGAGCCTCATGGTGAGCATGGTTGCAATATACATCAAGAGATACCTCCCTGCATGGTACGCATCTCCATTCCCTGACTGAAACACACCACAGAGGTTCTCATAAGTTCCTCACAAGGCTGGTCAAGAATGCAATGAAGGAAGGATCTTTTAAGCATATGTTTGTCAGCTCAGACTTGAGTGCCAAGACCAGTGGCACATGTGCAGACTTGGGGCCCTCCCCTTGTAAAGCCCCATGAGGCAGCCTTAATTCCAGAGCACCCAGCACAGTCACCCTCAAAGTCCTTGATTTTTATATCCACTATGAACACTTAATTTGAATAGTCCCTTCAAGATGTGGACATTACCGCAGGAGCAAATGTATTTGAAATACAGGTATACAGCCAGTGCTCATAACTTCAAATACAAAAATGATACATGCATACAAATAGCATAATCATATACAGCAAATCATAACCTTTCCATAGACACCTTACTTGACATAATTTGTACAAGATTTATTGCAATTATATAACAGTGTTAGCAACAATGATCTACATGGTCGTATTTAATCAGATAATGTCTCAATCCCAACACAAAATTGATGCAGGAAGGGGTGTCCCAGACACAGTTGAATGCATCATAGGAACTTCCCATTCTTGGTCCTGTATTACTACAGCTTCTCACCCAATATTAGAAGTATCGGCATATAACAGAAATGGTTTATCAAAATCATAGTTTGATCAAAACAGGCTTTTTCTTTGAAAGGTTCATTATGCAAATAATAATAATATTTGCAAAGCTGCTCTGCTGTGTAAAGCCAGGAATCCAGCCTTTCTTTTGAACCTGAAACATAAACTGTTCAATTCCAATATCAGTTAATTAAGCCTCCTTTTAAGCTATCCACACTAGATTTTTCCAAAGCAGATTCAGTGAGCTCATATACATCTGAAAGACTCTGGCAGTTAGGAACTGAAACAAATTTCTCAACAAATAAATTGTTGCCTTCTACAGACAGAAATTCACCCTGATTTACCTCAATTCACTTCCACACCCCTCAGTTACAGCAAACTGCTTGCAAAAACTACCATGAGGATTCTTCTCCTTAGGAGCTTCTTTTAGCAACAATTCACCTTCATCT